AAAGTTTGTTTTATATAAACCAAATGAGTGTCAAAGGACCACTCGCGATATTGTTATCTACAAAATAGTGGGTGGTCCTTCGAGCTTCAGTTTTAGATGGTAAATACCAATATCTCTAAAGGTAAGGGTAAAAATTATATAATTTCAACGTTTGCAGCTATAAATAATCCTTTCAAATAAAATACCATTATTAATAAAATAATAATAGTTTGTTTAATTGAAAATCCATTGTTCTACATTTATTAAAATGATTCAATATTCCTAAAGGAACATTTTGACGTCCGTATCAGTATATGTCATTTAAGTCTCTTTCACAAATACTTAGTAATCATACACGGCAATGTGTATGTCAAATGACTAACTATGTATGTTTTTAATGGAATTAGTTCTAAGGGTTAATTATAAAATGTCTTGACTATTCTACTCATAGCTATACTCTTGTAGGTCGCATAAATTCTACATAATAAATTTGTTTGTTAGTTAAATCAGCACCCACTTACTTAAACTTAATCTAAATGCGACCTTCACTGTTAGTTAATGAAAAAACAAATAAATTATTCTCTTGGCAACACTTAGTTGAAGATTTATTTGTAAAAAACGTACTTCGAAGCGTAATCTTGTTACCGTAGCAAATTCGTTTCAAAATTAATTAGTATGTTTAACTAATCACAGATTGAGGCAGCATTAAAAAAATAATCATGCAAGTGGAACACTACGCAAAAATATTGCAACAACGTAAAATCTTCATGTACATTTAAAACAAATATGATTCGCAAGCAACTTAATTGCGTTTCGTAAAAAATGTTTCGCAAAACAAAAGTTTATTAAACTTAGCACAAACAATGCAAATGAAAATTGTTGTTTTTTCTCATAAAGCACAAGGGGAATGAGAGCAATAGTCTTTAACAATGAAACTAAACGTCGCGTCGTCGCTCCAATCCCAAACAATTTGCGCGCGCTTTTTAACAAGATGGTGCTGATATCGACAAAATGGCGGCGTGAGAGCGGCAATATTTTTATGCGTTACTTGTAATAGTAAAAATATCAAATAAAAATTGAATATCTTAAAATGGAGTAACATAATAGACTTAAATATTGCCATACTTAAAAGAGATCGCATTAATTGCTACCAATTGTCAGCTTTGTTTTAATTAAGGTCAACCCAGTGGTTTTTTAACACGTTGAACCACATCCGTCACTCAAATACTCTGCCTGGTAGTCTTTCACTAAAAAATGGAACACATATAACATTGTAACTATCACTTAAAAAGTTTAATAGAAGTCAACGCCAAAGGCTGTATATTCCATGTTAAAAGTAACTATAAAAAATATTTTAAGCGTCAATCATTTATATTTGATAGCCCTAGCCTGACAGGTTTCTTTCTATGTCAATTCGTATTCAAAAACAAGTCAGTTAGTGGCTTTGAAATGGGGTACCGTTAACGATGTGTGTATGAACACACTGGCCGGTGGTCACCTACTCACGAGTAGCTGGATTACGACTTAGATAAAGTAAATGGTGCAAAATTAGCAAAATTTTGGAACGGGTTGGCACTTGATCGTTTATGAATTCTACCGCACGTGCATAACAACCGGAACCAGTCAATCAAGTTTTAAGAATTTATACAGTTATTAAACCCTTTTTTTTTCCCGTGCGGAATTCCCTTCGGATACCTCCTATCGGTGGCATGTCGGACTCGAACCGACTAAAACCGCACGCCGTCTCGGGTACTAATAGCCGGGGAACCAGGTATACCCTAGAAAGGAAGTCCCTGGTGCAGTTATTACACCCAACATTAACTTATTAATTGTTTTAGTAATAAAATCAGTTTAAAGGCGATAGTCCTGCAACATTGTACTGCATAAAACCAAACTTATTACTTTGTTTAGGTGATTTGTTAAAATCCTTAATAACATTATAAATAAAATTACATACACTTTTTGGATTTAACTTATTCATGGTTACTGAAACGGTCATGTTAATACCTTTTAACATCCAGTCAAAAATATTTTTCCTAAAGAAAATCAGAATAGATTGAACGAATTAACTTTTAAAACAATATCACCGACTTCCATCGTTATGTTGAGTTATTAACTGTATTCTTCATTCCTCTTAGGGGTGGTATTATTTCTTCAAATCTAAATGAGAATAAACAAGAAGTATACCCTGTATATATAAAAACATAATTCTCGTAGTCGGTTTCTAGATGACAAAGTTTTGGGACTCATAACTTTATCAACTAGAAACCGAAACAAATTTGAGGTACGGGACTAATCAATCCCACACGCCCACTACTGTAACTCCAGTACACTATAACCTGGATCAGTAGCAGTTACCGAGTTATGACACTCGGAAAGTCCCAGGCAAACATTAAACTGTCTTAGAACCCGCAACGAAAATAATCAAAAGAAAATTGAAGGAGTTGGAAATATAATAAAGCCTTAGGGAGGAAGTTATGAGGTAACAAACTTAAAATCCTTAGGGGTGGTTTATCAAGTTTAAATGGCACCAAACCCTACTGAACAAAAAAGAAATCTTCAAATTGCTATAAAAGTTACGTCGCTTTGAAGTAGGTACTCGTAACTAACTTAAATAATTTACAATCAAGTTGAAAACATTCTCCTTATTTGAAGTCGTTTCAAAATCTGTATTAACAGAAGACTCATCATCATCATTAAAAGCCTTTAATAGTCCACTCCTTAGAAAGGAGGTTTTGGCCTAATATACCACGCTGGCGAGACGGTTTAGTATAGAGTTTGTTCCAAGTTTTTCTTCTCTTTGTAGTGCAGTTGTCCGGCGTAGTTTATTCCCTTAGTCGACTCCTACGACACCCACGGCATGGAGAGGTGTACACTCAGTGTTCTAAATCCGTCCCCACACAAGATTAACTGCGTTATATCAGAAAAAAAAACAATCGAATTATTTTTTTATTTCTTTTTAAACTAATGCCATAGTGGAATCAATTAGGCCTACACGTTATCGTTGAGGTATTTTCGCTAAGCATCTCATAGCTTTAAAAGTGTGTCAAAAGAGCAAGTTTGTTATGGAAATATTTTTATGACATGCCAGAGCCTAAATACATTTATAAACGAGACCCAATTATCTATGGAATGAGAAGGCAGGTGTATAGGCCGTAAGTTACTATTGGTATTTTATTTTGACGTGTGACGGGAGATGTGTGTGAAAATTCTGGGTCGGTATAAAATGATGTCGAATAATCATGCAATGTTGAGTACATTGCATGATTATTCGACATCATTTGGTATTTTAATGTTTGTTTTATGATAGTTAATGTGTATTGTGTTCGGATAGTTGTAAATTGTATTGTGATAGTTGTAAAATAAATGGTATTAGAGGCTTCAATAATTAGTTTAATCGGTAATCGTAACACATTTGTTACTCCGGTGTTAAGCAATTAGTTCATTCCGTGTATTATGGGAGGGGGGGGGGGGGGGCAAGCTTGTATTTTGTAACAAATTTTACAGTATTTTCTACGTATATCAACAAAACATTTTTTTTAATCAGATTGAATGATTCCAGTTTTAATACATGGCGCTCTGTATACATTTTTCAAACAGTTCAAACAGCTGACAGCTTGTAATTTTAAAACATATATTTAATAATACTAAATAACTATTATTATTAACTGATATATTATACCATTGCAATTAATAAGTACTTGTTCCGTCGTTAAGGAGTTTTGGTGTGAATTTAGTGGTTTTAAAATTGCTTTAGGGGATAGTTTAAATGCGAAGCGCGCTCGCTTCCAGGGAGCACAGGGAACATGGGGTGCCCACACGGGGGGGGGGGGTTCTCCACTCGTCTGTAGATGACCCGAGGTATGTCGGGGCACCAGGGACTTCCTTTCTAGGGTATACCTGGTTCCCCGGCTATTAGTACCCGAGACATGCCACCGACAGGCGGTATCCGAGGGGATTTCCGCACGGGAAAAAAAGCATCAGCTACCCGCTGACATCTTGAGTACCTCGTCCCCGCCACCGTCTGTCACCCCGCAGGACGGTCTCGCACGACGTTGATGGACTATAGTAGCCATAGTACAAGCTCTGCTTAGTTTGGGACTAGATGGCGTTGTGTGAATGTGGTAGAACTAAATAAATAATGTAACTTAGAAATCCTCTCAAAAATTGAAACCTGTTGAAATTAAAAATATAAACTTAGAGCTTTGAGAAAAGTAATAAACTGTCAAGCTACAAAAATAAATTATTAGATATGGGCCGATTTGCGGCTCTAATATTTTGGTATAAAAACTTAACATTCACATATTTTGTTTTTTTTTGCAATTATATGCAATTAAATGTACCAAATACAGGTTAGAAGCACATTATTATCAACTCGCTTAGCAAAATGCCTAACCTTCTTTTATAACTTGCAAGTTCAGTCGTAAGCAAATTACAAATAGTATAAACCTAATGTTAAAAGTAAAACTACTAGTTCATTTATACCGCTAAGAACTCAAACAAGTGTAAGTTCCGTTTGAGAGCTATTACCGTTAATCTATAATGTTTTCTATATTTACATTCGTATGTTAATTTCTGTCAAGCACTGTGGTATTTCGAGTCCACGCCTATCATTGTATCGTAAATGAAAGGAATAAAATTTATATAAGGAATACAATGGAAGTTTCTTTCATAAATTTTTGAGTCATATTTGTGATAGAACCCCATGTATAGAAAGAACTCGATTTTTAGTACGGATCCGTTATTTATATACAGGGCGACAGGAAATACGATACATTCCTTATGAAGTGTTTAAGTAGAACGCATTTAAATTGAATTTAGTCCCAGTATACCATATCCTAAACTTGGTTATTTCTGAGATAGTAACTGACATTAAAACTGCCGTACCTCAACGCAGCATGGCCGGTACGCCGCAAATTGTTTTAAAATTCCTTTAGTAGTTAGATCACACACTCGATAACTAGATAGTAATACAGATTAATAAGAAAGTTCCTAATGTTTATCTGTATTATTGTTTTCAGAGGAAGACTGGGCCGAGAGTACAGCCTACATGATGCATGAAGCTTTCGACGCATCACCCCCACGCCGCGCCGCGTCACCGCGCCGCACCTCTCCCCCACGTCGCACATCACCTCCCCGCCAAGCTCTTTCACCGCGTAACTACGACCGCTCCTATCCAGACGATTACGACCAGTACCGCGACCAATTGGCTCCGTTTCGCGACCAAAATACCTTTGAACGACGATTCCGCCACGAATCTTTGGAGCGTGTCACCAAAGATAAGTTCCCGGAGAAAGAGAAATTTCCAGACGATTCAATTAATTATAGACGAAGATATGTCGCAGAAACTAAGCCCTCTAACAGAAGTATTGACAGAGCTGAAGATCGAAGGTTTGGTAAACTTCAAAGAGGTGCTAGCGAAGGCAGCCTTAAAGTTGCAGAAACATCCCCAAAAGACAGGTTCAACGTTGCAAAAGAAAAATTCATGAATTTAGAACGCGAAAGATTCAACAGAGAGCTTGAACAGCACATGGCCATAAGAAGGAGCATGCTTGAAAGGAACAGTCGCTCGACTTCTTCCCCCGAGGAAGAAAGGAGAGACGAGCGACAAGACCGCCATAGAGACGTTAGCTCCCGAAGAGAGCCAGAACGCTCTCATCGTGACATTGAGCGCCACAGAGAGCCTGAGAGGCGTAAGGAACCCGAGAGGATCCGCGATATTGAGCCATTGGCTCACAGGGAGATGGAAAGACTCCCTCGCATTGGAAGAAAGCGCGATGATACTAAACGCTTTGAGTATGGCGCCGAGGAGTACCTAAACAGAATTGAGCCAAAACCTCACAGGGATGACTTCGACAGGTATGAGAGAAGGGACAGGAGGGAATTAGATAGACGTATCGACGAGGACGAGATAATTGAGCCAGTGATCGAGGACAGAAGGAGAGACTGGAACGATAGGCAAAGGGCATTCAGCCGTTCTCGTCTTTTAGATGATCAGCGCCAGTCATACGTCGAGGGAGACAGGGAGAGATATTACGACAGAGATTACAGGGACTTCCGTGAGCTTGCTGACAGACAACAGACAAAATTCCGCCACAGTTACGCGGAACCTATACCGAGAGGACGTCTGGGTACCGTCAGACCTTACTGAATGCCATAATAGATTCATAGATGTTAAAGGAATATTGAAACTTTGAGGAACCAAAAATAACACAAGCAGAGAAGTTGAACGAAGAGGCATTGCCTCAGAAAAGTTATCAATACCTGATTTTGTTAAATTTAATGTATTACTAGACACAAAATATTATTAATTGTGCATTGCTGTGCATTGTTTATATACCCGAATATTGGTCAGGTAAATTTGTCATTTAATTTACCCACCACGTTGATAGGTGCAGGGGTATGGTATAACTTAGAATTAATCAATTTGTAAGTGCCTATCCCATAGCAATGTATTTATAAATACTCATAAGTCCAGTATATGTCACAGATAATATTTTATTTGTAAATATAAATAAAAGGTACCTTTGTTAAATTATAGATAGGTTTCAAATACATGGACACATTGTTATTATTATGTTATCTTTATCGAACAATGTTAAGACATATGATGATAAATTGAATTTAAATTCAAAATTTATGTAACTTTGTTTTTGGATATTTTGTTTATTTAGTTCCAAGATGTTTATCTGAGAGTTATAAAATAACAAATGAACAGACATATTTAATTTCTTAGGAATAACACAGTAACATAAATAATACGATCACGACCAAACGTGTAAAGTGGTGCTTCAATCTTATTCAAAATTTTGGCCCTGAAAGCCTTCGTGATAAATTTTCTATCGAAGTCTATCGATAATTCCAATGCTACGTCAACAGCACCACCTAATGAAATCTTTTTAGACCCATTAAAATTTTAAATTACCTTATGAACGTGATAAAAGTCAAACAATGGTATAAGTAATGCCATTATTTGAAATTTAAACTATTCGAAATTTTGAGCCGTTAAGCTCAGATACAACAGCGATTATACTATAGTCATATTATTATTATTTTCCTAATAAACAGTTGGAGCACTAGGACAGGGTGGTTAAGAAACTTGAGGCGGCTATATAAAACTTGTAGATTCTATAATTTTGTAGGTATCTCTAACAGCAAAATTTTCAGAAAGCACCACTATGTATTGGCTTCTCGAAATGAAGCCATGCATAAGATCTGCAGAATCCTTATCCCAATTTCAATTTCAATTTCACCTGGTTGCAAATTCGCAAGAGATATCACTCCTCAGCAAAGCTACTGCACCTTCTCTGCTGATCACAGAGTAGTGAACGTCGAGTATAAGATACTCATTCAGGGTCCTGTGTGTCAGAACCTTAATAAGTTCCAACTTATAAATGCAAATCGTAACTGCTAAGAAAGAGAAGCATTGGGATAGCTCTTTCTCTGTTTGTGTTAAAAGAGAGGAATGAGATTTCTGTCTCTGTCTAGCTTGTGTTTGTATGGACGATATGTCTTTGCTATGAAATTCACTGTAGATTTTACAACACATGCATCCAATGCGCTACGCACGAACCTAAACTATACAAAAGTATTCAGTTTTCTTTGAGGGGTTAATTAATAATACTAGTAATAATCTGTAAAAATAGACTGCACGGATGGCGTAGTGGTTTAAGCGATCGCCACGCCGCTTCTTACAACTCTGAGTGTTGTGGGTTCGATCCCCTCATGGGACGACACTTTGTGTGATCCACAAATCGTCGTTCAGAGTGTGGGCGTTCCTTGTGTCCATTTTATGTATGTTTGTAAAGACCCCCACGACACAAGATTGTCTTTTTATAAAAAAAAATATCCAACCTATTTTACTAGTAAAAGTAAATAGGGAGCTGTTTGTTAATCAATTCATGCGCTGCTTTTCACCGAATAAGTGAAGTTACCGGAATCCAAACTCTATCTATCTCTATCTCTATAATAAATCTAAAATCCTCAAGATTCTAGGGTTCTGCTCTAAGGGCGACAACACACTTGTGACTCTTGAGAGTCAGGCGTTCATGGGCGACGGTAGTTACTTATTATCAGGTGTCTCATTTGCTAGTTTCTTCCTTCTTATCATAAAAAAATTATGTCTGAAAAATAAAGAACAATATTCTGGAAGTGCTGAAGAACCTTCAGACGTATAGTTCATTGGAATTTGTGCTGATCCATTTACTAATCTATGCTTTTGTCCAAAATATGCAATTACTTGTGCAAAGATTGTTTTTATTCTCGATATGTAATACATGGCCAAAACTTAAAACATTTTTATAATTCTCAGATAAAATACCAGGTTTGTAATTTATTTGTAAGTTAATATAGATTGTAAATGAATATATCTTGTTTTACGAAAGAACTTTGAACAATAAAATTTGAAACATATTTACCTGTTGTTTTATACATAATTAAAATTTGGAAAAGGGGAATGCAGCCTTTGCCTGCCCCTTTAGACAAATAGGCGTGAGTAGGTATGTATAAGTAATTTCCTCCCTATTTTGACAGCCTATTGATAAGTGCTTAACGTTGATCTCGAAGTTTTACTACCCATTACATTAGCAGCTGTGGCGACTTTATTCAGTTACAGAAACACAAGACAAGAAGTGAGATTTAATATCGGATTTCGATTCAAGTAGACATGTGACTGACTGTGACTGAGTTGCAGGCGTTCATGGGCGGCAGTAGTCGCTTTCCATTAGGTGAACCGTTTGCTTGTTTGCCCCCTATTCCATAAAAAAAAGGTAGAGGAATAAATAGTGTGTTCTTCCAACACAAAATTAGGATTCTCCGAAAACACGAAGTGATCATTATCTGGCAGATTACGACCTAATGGTTAATTCAATGGAAAACTTTAATAACGCGATGCAGGATCAGTAGGCGTGGTAATTCGATGTGTTTTGTTAGACGGTCTTGAAAAATATTTTTTCGTTGTAAGTTGCCACAAGAATTAGTAGTAGGTACGAACCATAGTTATCTGGCTCGACTTGCATTGTAAACTATTACAAATACCTCTACGGCAATTTGTAAAAGTGTGCATATGTCTCAATTCTATTATAAAATAAACCTTGACTTAGTAAAAATAAGTTAAAATATGAATGCAATGATGAAAAAATCATGAGAACTTTGCAACAGCAATGTTAATTATAGGCAATAAAGGTCAATTTTAATGGAGAGAAGTTACTCGATGCTGTTCATTAATAAGCACTTTCAATGGGTTTGCTCATAAGAAAAATATTTCAAGTATATTTAATTGCTACCAAGCATTACCAAATTGCTGTGCAAAATAACCGTCATCTACTAAATAATTGCTAATACAGGCATATATCTTATGGAAGATACTACAGCAAAATCACATCAACAGCCTTTAACAGTCCACTGCTGCACATAAGCCTCTCCTTAGGAAGGAGGTTTTGGCCGACTACGAGTAAACCACGCGGGCCAGACGGGTTGGTATAGGGTTTGTGTCAAGTTTTCCTTCTCTCTGCAGTGCTGTTGTTCTGCGTAGTTTTTTCCCTTAGTCGGCTCTTATGACACCCACGGAATGAATAAGGGTGGTGACACTCTGTATTTTTAATCCACACCACACACACCACAGCAAAAACACACAGTTTAAAAACCACCGATAAAGCTATACCAAGTTATTACCATGAGAGTGCTATGTTTCAACTTTACACCGATTTTCAGTCGGTGTTAAGGAATTTTCCGTGACGGATTAAAAATACGGAGTGTCGCCATCACTATTCATCCCATGGGTCTCCTAAGAGCCAACTAAGAGAACAAACTATGCAGGATAACAGCACTGCAAAGAGAAGGAAAACTTAAAACAAACCTTTTACCAATCCGTCTGTCCAACGTGATATAGAATTCCAAAACCTTCTATCTCAGGAGAAGCCTATGTCCAGCAGTGGACTATTAAAGGCTGTTGATAATGATGATGACGATTATTGGAGTGTGTTACTGTTACCGAACATGGATATTTGCATGTCAAGAGTCACCAGTGATTTGCCGGCCTTTGAGGTGGGAGAACATTGTTTGAAAGATCGTGTCGGTTCGATATGAGTGGCATTACCTTTAACGTTCTATTTAACGGGTCTTATATCGTGGGTTCGATTCCCATACAGGACAAAAATTAAGTGATGAGTATGATCATTTGTTTTGTGTCTGGGTGTAATTTATCTCCCTGGGATAGGGCCTTACTATCCGGGGGGGACCTGAAATAACATGGTCCGAGTCCTCTCGGAGTAGGGCGCCTGACTCCGGCCGTCAGGGTGGTTTTTAGTTTTTAGTGGAAACCCCACATACTCCTGGCTCCAAGGAGCCGGAGATTCAAAGGGATTTTCCACCACCTCACAAAGAAACGAAAAAAAATAAGGTGTAATTTATCTATAAATGTATGTATTTAGAAATATATAAGTACGTATATCATACGTTTTGCCTAGTTTGGGATCAGACGACCCTGGGTGAAAGTATGAGGTAATTTTTATTATTTCACTATTTGAACCTTATAATGAATAACAGCGTATATGAGTGAAGTGGTCTCATCTACGGAAATACATGAATTATTTGATGAGGTTTGCTTTTAGCATATGCTGTGCTGTTATGGTGTAATACAGTTCATTCGTAATTTCAGAGATTTAAAAATTACATCATTAGTGTGTATGTGGATGTTGTGAAATGCCTACATTTATACGTATAATTGCAGTACGAAAATACACACACACACACACACACACACACAGTAGTCTTTTTTATAACAACCTAACGAGACTAATTATGTGAGTGGACATGCCTTAGATATCGTAGTCCGATTACGCTGGTCTTAAATGGCTGGAAATATGTACTTAATTAAAGGAAGTGAATGTAATTATTGATTGACTATTACGTGACGTTAAATAACCTAGTGCTTATTTGGGGCAGTCTAAGAATGTAATTAAAAGTATTTTTTTATCTCTTTAAAAGCAATGAATTTAGTTTACTAGAATTTTGACGGTAGCTTTTGATCATAAAATAAAAATCTTTGTGATGATCGGACCTTTGAATTTGAGATAATCAGTAATTGACACAAAATTATTTACTGTATTTACTGAAATTAAGAAATAAATACATCACTGGATCCCTTTAACACTTCCCGAAATTCGTATAAAATAAAATTATTTACTGTATTTACCGAAATTAAGAAATAAAGATAAACATCACTGGATCCCTTAAACACTCCCCGAAATTCGTACAAAAATTAAATTATTCACATTTTGTTCCAATAACAAGAATTGCCACAAAAACATACCATCACACTTTGAACATCCCACACACGCTATACAAACATTCACTACATTCAATCACACACACTACTCCACATACAAACAACATTATTGCTATCTGTTTAGCTACGAGTATATTTGAGATGCACTGTATTAGGTATATTCATGCAGAATGTTTACTTTCAATTAATTGTGTACTTCGTAATTGGCGTATTGTTCGACTATTATCATGTAAACTATATACTGTCAGCTGTGAAGAACCTAAGTATTAAATAAAATTATAAAAGAAACCATATCATGGATTTTAATAGACCTAATGTACTACCTTGTGGCACGCCATTTCGTTGAGCTAGCAGACACATCCGTTTATGCTAAGTAACTGCAAAGTTCAATAGTTATAGAAATATTAAGTATTAAGTTAGTTTATAAAAAAAAATTGTTGCCAATCTGAGTGTAAGTTACTTATATATCATAAATTTAATCATAATAAAAGTGTTTGTCTCAGTAGTTGTGTTAACATATGACTGGTTTAAGGAGTTTTAGGTTTTTAATTATTCATTCTTAGTTAGATATTACTTAAAAACAAGTAGTAATGTGCTATCGATAGTAACATTCTAAAATTGCAGTACATAAAAAGACTGCACGGATGGCGTAGTGCTTTAAGCGGTCACCTCGCACCTTCCTACTGCGCTAAAGTGTTGTGGGTTCGATCCCCACATGGGACATCACTTCGTGTGATCCACAAATTTTTGTACTGAGTCTGGGTGTTCTGTGCCCGTTTCATGTATGTTTGTAAAGTCCCCCGCGACACAGGATTTATTCCTAGTGCGGGAGTTGTCTATTTTAAGAAAGAAAAAAAAGTTTACTTGTACCAAATAAATACTTAGCCACGAGAAAGCCGGCTTTACTTAAGCATTCCTTCATTAAGCATTCTTCATCTTGCACCCAAATATCATTACGCTTCTGCAACTTATTCACATTTAGGACTAAATAAAACTCCACGTAACTCATTAAATCGATGTATTTCATTTATTTACAAAAGTCGCACTGCGAACCAGCACCTATATTGCACTAAAATTGCACGCGTTACAAATCAACAGTTCATAGTTTATACACATACAATAAATATTATAGGGGATTAACACGTTCATTGCTGAAATAAAGGCAAGAGCCAAAATCATGATTATTAAATGAAGAAGTTTGAAGATTTGTATAAAAAATATTTTTTCTTCATTTGGTTATTTTGACTCAATCATAAGCTTGATTGATGACCTAGCATATTTTCTTCAACTTCACATGAAACTGTTTTATTTCAACAATAAACCTCATTATTCTTATAAATAGTATAATTAAAGATACTATCTCATAAGCACTTGTCTCACCAAGAGTTTTAATAGTAATTATTAATAGTAAATACCTTAAAGGTAATGAGAAGTCCTAAAAGGATTTGGGTCTGCGAACTAGGTTGTTCTTTTATCTTTGAGCCCGTCCTTTTATTACCTATAGTAAAATTGTGTCAAATAAATTAATCTATTCTAATTAAAATACCTACAAATTTCAGTTTTAAGTCTTTTTAAATTGTGGAAGTGTTTCTTGAACTCGATTTTGATCTATTTTCTGAAGATGGAAAAAGAAACAGCTAATCTCTCAACTAAATTGATCAATGTCACAAAACGATAGAATCTCCACCATGCCACTAGAATACCTTTTCTAAGATTAGCAAAGGTGCCGTCAAATAGGGAATATTAAAGAATTATTTTGACTTAGACGTCTCTTATAACTTCGGTGTCAGGGCAGGCCAAGTGCACTCTCCACTTTGGGTGATTGTGGAGGCCTCGACACGTCGGGCCAAAGCGACTGGCTGCCGCGCACCAATCGAGTCGCATGTACAGTGGACACGTTAGCACGATACTTCAAATTATATCTAGACACGTAACAATAATTTTTGCCTAGAAATGAGACTAGACTTAAATTGCCTTCGTCGCATCATAAATTTGTAGATAATAGTTTATACATAATATAGTTAACAAAATGTTTTGGTGAGACAGGTGCCTACCGACACAAACAGTTTTATGTAATATGTTATTGTCAAATAAACTTGCAAATACACATAGAAATATGCCATTACGCAGTCACAATGTTAAACCACCCTCATGGCTTTAAAATGAAAACAATAGATTTTATGTTTGCGGTTTTGAATTTGATAACATGTATATTATTGACTGGTCATTGTCTGTCTGTCTAGTCATAAAAATCTGGGTATAGTTGATACGTATTTTTAAGTAAGAATACGTTTAGACTAGCTACCAAATGCTAAATATAAGATAACTGTAACTACACTATGCATAAAAGATTATTTTTAACAATAAATAACTACATACATAGTTCTACATAACATTCGATATACTGTAAATCCTTATTTTAAAATAAGGTGGTATACGTGTAACATAAACTTAAGTAAATGAATATACAATGTCTGAATTCAATATTCTCTCATTCTGACGGGTCGCGCTAAGCGATTGGCACGTTTGGAGCTATATTTATCGATAATTCCTCTAACATGTTCAATAAACCACTTGTTACCAACTACAATTTCAACTTGCGTGTCCCCATTCAGAATGATAATACAAATTACATGAACGTTTGAAAATTCAAAACTTTCATCAACGTATTCTTTGAAATAAGGCAATGACAACGTTAACCCAAGTTTTGAAGAATTCTTTGACTTGAAAATAGTTGAAAAGGCTGTCGTAAATAAAATAGTCCTTATTTTTCCAAAAACCTTATCTAGATAGTTTCGAATCGACATTAGTTTTGACTTTAAGTCAAACGTCACTTAAAGTATTGACCACCGTTTGTTTCAACTTATAAAATATACGTAAAAAATATTGCACACTCCAAAAGATATTGCACCAAAAGATCTTTGTCTTGTTTATATTATTGTACTAGTTATAATTTAGAATAGGATTTATAGTAACACACATGCTTAGAATATAGATAATTGTTTCTGAATTTGTACATACGTCTCAGCCACAGGACTCTTTTGGTAATTGGAATGTTAGATCGTCATACCAATCACATTCTCCCTCAAAACTCCCATTTTAAGTTATACAAAAATGAGGGACGGGGTGTGATTGGTCTTATTGATTCTATAGTTTTATCCAATTTTTGTCTGAGACTGTTACATCGTGTCACAGTTTTCATTATTGAACCGTTTGTCTCTAAAATTATGTTTAGTGTTAAAGAAAACAACAAATTGAGATCTGTATGCTGCAAAAGTTTATTTGGACACAATGAAACAAGCTCAACAAATGTTATGCCGTGTATATTTTGCGTTTTTAAAACCAATTTAAAACATTTAAACAACTCATATTTATGATGACAAAATACTAGTAGTATTTAGAATCTGGTGACTACAATATTCTAAATACTGTGAGTTTGTATTATATGTGCGAATAATTAAGGCTATGTGATGACCATAATATCAGGATCTTAGAACAATACATAAATAACCAGTTCTCTGATAACTGAATATTTGAAAAATATTAAAATATAGAGAACCAAGACGACGGAGAGGAAACCGTCACATAATCCGATACAAACATACCAAAAGGAGACCGAGACTGAGATTAATATACAAAAGTGAACACAAATAAAACTCTAATAAAACGCATCTGGCATAAAGGTGTAACAGTGTGAATCGAGATTTAATCGCGAAAATATTTTAAAAGCCTTTCCTTCTTGGTAACTCAACATTTCAACCGCATTGCGCTGATCATTAACACGATTAATTCCCAATTCACACATCTAATATGTATAGAAGTTTGAAAAGAATTATAGAACTGCTGGTATATTCAAGTTTAACATTGAAATATAATGGTGAAAGTTCGTCCTTAGCTTCTAGTATAATGTGGCTAGGGTAGGTAGCCGAGCGTGTCCTCGAGGCTCGCGTTCCTGCTGAGAGACGCGTGAGCGAAGAGCGAGGTGGGGGGGAGGCGCGCGGTGGGGGGGAGGCGCGCGCCGAGCGCCAGCGCGCGCACGTCGGTGCGCTGCGACAGGCGCACGTCAGCGAACAGCGCCGCCATCTCCGCAGACTTCTTCACGCTCAGGGCTTCCTGCGACCCGGCACCCGTACTGCACACTGGGTAAGTAACATCTGTTTATGATCAGTAATGGGACTGACTGGAAATAGAACTCCGGTTAGAAGCTAACTGGAAATGGTAACTGCTTCTATTTGAACACGACTAACATAATACTAATAACAAACTGCACACAGTTTGGTGGCCGTTGTTAAAAAAAAACGACTGTTATTGAGAAATAAAAAGTATTTGGTACACATAAAAACGAGGTTTATGATGTGAAATATTTACTAGATGCCACTAACCAGTAAGCCGCTGCATATTCCTTGTTCTTGGTTTATTCTGTAGTAATAACTCGTAGTCGAGAGCAGTGCTGTCGCTGCTGCGAGCACGACGTACAAGATCCGATCGCCGACGACCACCCCATCGGCTAGAATATTTAGAAAGTAAAAAAACGTGAAACGATACAAAGGAAGCTTTAAGTTGTAACTGTTAACTGACTTCAATGAAGCTTTCGATTACTATCGATTGGTTCTATAAATGAATGTATGAATATAATGAAATCAATTTTTAGCCAATAAGAGCATATATCATATTATGGCAAAATTAATTTTAAAGATTCATTCCATCTTAGATAAGGACCTCTACCAATTATTGATTATTTTTATGTTTATTATTAACATAAATTGGGAGTACCGCAAGGGACAAATATGGTACCCTAGGACATCATAGACCCAAAAAAAAAACAGGAAGTTGTACTAAGCACAAAAGTGACACCTGAAAATTAATAGAGTTACTGATTAAGGAGTTTGTATGATAATAGGGTTAATTACCTTGTTCTTCCACTCTTGTCATCATCAAACGCCCTCTTCATCCTATCCGAGTAGGCCTTGGAAGGGCTTCTGAGATACTCCATACTGTGTGATGCCTGTATCCGTCTAGGTCCGGTACAGTAGCATTTGTTGCTGTCAGCACAACTTTCTGAGTCACAAGAGCAGTAGCTGAAATCCCCATCATAGTATTCCCTGAAAATAGTTATAAAGTAATTTAGCGCTGTCTAAACTGCGAACTCTCAGAGAATTAAATTAAGTTTTGAATATATGTTTCGTATGTAATAAGCATCTTAGAGCTGAATTGCTGGTAGAGACAAAAGGTGTGAAGTAGGATCCCTCAGTGGCAACTACAAAACCCCTCGAGGTTAGGTTCATTTGACTAATTTTGACGATTCCAACTGATTGAGTTCAGAGGATGGGTAACAACGGTAAAACGATGAAGCCAGAAGGTGGATAGTTCAGCCTGTTAACATTTTCATTTAAATGATTAAGAATTAAATCATTGACGTTTTTAGCTTTACTAAACTGTAATTGCTTTGCTACACTTTGTGTGTACATGCATTTAATAATCACAAATTTATTTGTTATTTTCTAAAAGCTCATAAGAAGCTATAAGTCTGGTAAGTACAAAACGTCAGGTGTACAGATAAATATTTGAATAAAAAAATACTTTGTGTCGCTCCATAGCATTGAACTAAATATTTTTTATGACATAAGGGGCAAACGAGCAGACTTGACGGTGGGGAGACGGATTAAGAATACAGGCTGTCACCACCCCTATTCATCCTATGGGTGTCGTAAGAGCCGACTAAAGGAGTAAACTACGCAGGACAACAGCACTGCGAAGAGAAAGAATACCAACAAGTCTGCCCAGCGTGGTAGTAGGTCAAAACCCCCTTTCTAAGGAGAGGATATATCCTGCAGTGGGCTATTAAAGGCTGTTGATGATGTTGATGACGCCTATGGACATATACACCTTTAGAGACACAAGTGTGTTGCCACCTTTGAGCACCCTTCCTTCAGAATTCTTGAACTGGCTAACCCCGGCTCCGGTAAGCTTAATCGGCGAAGCAAAGTAAGAATTCCTTTACACCTTTCTTTCTTTCTGTTAGGTCGTGGTATCACACAGATCAAAAAGGCCCATTGCCATACTTGCATGGCTCTCCCACGGTAAAACAGTTTGGTTAGGTGAACCTAACCTAACTGTTTGTGAACACCTAAGTGCCAACTTTTGCAATTAAGTCGGCAAACCCTCATATAGAAAGAAGATCTTGAATCAGCTAGTGTTTTTAAACCAAACACGAATACAATTACAATCAGAGATATTGATAAGGAAAAATGTGAAATTGAAGGGAGAAAATCGGCTTTGTGTATTACATAACTTGTGAAAGTTGAATCATTTCCATTGCTTGAAAACAAATCTGTGCAAAATAATATTAAACAATTCAGTTGGATAAAACGAGCGGACGGTCTCAGACTATGTTTCAAACAAAAATATTCTAATAAATATGTAGATATTCCAAAAAATATAAGTATTCATATATATGTTTACTGACCTGATTATTGTTTTTTTTTTATACGGAAATGATAATTTCAACACGGTATTATAAATTAAATGATTAGGATCTTACACCAACCATATAAGAACTAAAATATTACGAGTCTATTTCGTTTTACAATTAACGTATAGTAGCATTCTATCGCGATCTGAGATCTTTCAATCATCTACAGAATATAAACAAAACTGTTTACTTATTTAAAGTGCCTTAGTCAAGTCTAATGAGCTGCTGAGGTCACCTAATGGTAAGCGATTATCGCCACTTATGGACAACGAAAGTCAAGAAACATAAATGCTCTGTCACCGAATCGAGTTCGAGTCTCCCCATCATCAAAAATTAGGATGAGGGAAGGGGTGTAGTTTTCTTGCCCCTTTTTTAACGTTACTTACTCAGTGAAAAGCATGAATTGTTTGAAATCAACGTATTTACAAAAAAAAAGTTTCTAACAAGATTTTTTTATTGTCTAATTAGATTGGAAGACGAAGCTATTCTACACGTAATTACCGATTCTTGGTCATAAGTCAACTGCTAAAACAATAAATATAACCAATTAGCTAGGTATGAAATTACTACACCACAGTCAGGTAATACAACTATGTACAGGGTGAGTTAAAAGTAGGGGACGTATAAAAACGCATAATACGATAAAATACTACAGTAACCTACTACAAACGGCTTGGTGATGTAAAGTAAAAATAAAACTATAAATATACTTACATTCTGTTACTTAACAGAATGTGAATATTAAAATCATGACTATTATTATTTTTTTAATAAAATCTTTATGAGTATTAAAATGTATAAATTTAAGCTCTAAAGTTTTAACTGCATTTATGATCCATTTGCTCTAAGAGGACTATATCTGTAACTTGCCTCAAGAATTGGGTCAGCAAAGTATATTTTTTAAATCCGAATATCTAACCAGTACTTCCAAGCATTCATATATTCAGATAAAACACATATTTATGTTTTATCATATTGAAAACTATTGAAAATTAAGAAATATTAAAACTATCCTTCACCACACATAGAACTGTTGGTACTTTGTGTGGTGAAGGATTAAGAATACGGAGTGTCACCACCCCTATTCATCCCGTGGGTGTCTTAACAGCCGTCCAAGGGAGCAAACTACACAGGATAACAACACTGCAAAGAGAAGGAAAACTTGAAACAAATTCTTAATCAGCCCGTCTGGTATGTATAGTATTCCAAAACCTCTTGTGTAAGGAAAGGCCTATGTCTAGCAGTGGCTTATCAAAGGCTATTCAAAATGGAAAACCAAATGTATATATTTCAAAATCTAAAATCATATTAAATAGCCTACAAAACAAAACATATAGCGATGAGTTATTGAGAACTTTATCTGCTGATTGTCATTATCAGGACAAAATTTGACAGATGGTGGGATTAAATCCTAATTTTGACCGTCTTAAGTCTACTATTTATTGTATTGCGTATAACACTTGTGTATTGGAAGCATGCTCGAGGTAGTTTCAGACACAACAAGGGTCCTTTTTCAAAGTCTGAAGCGTCTGCCGCGACGATGTCAGGCATTAAACTATGCAGCATTCAAAGTTGGGATATCTCCGAAACCATCCAAACATCAACTTTATATTAACTTAAACTTTTAAATCTTTATAAATGTAATGTGAATGCCACTCACGAAAAAAACATAAAGGAAGGCCATATTCAATTATCACATTAAATTATTAAAAGCAATTTTGAAACATCATGTAAATAAAAGCAACCAATTATAAATACAACTAAATATAGTTAATTCAGTTCAGTAATTCATGAGGTGTCTTGCGCGGGCGCTGCACGCTCTGATTACCCCCTACACATTTCATTTCTACTACCAACCGTACCAACGTAGATAATCTTTATTCGAATAACATTAAAGTACAAAATGAATTAGCTAATCCGAGATTTAATATAATTAATGCTACACTCTCTTTGATGAAGAATATTGGCGGTAAACGAATGGACGTCGAAAGTAGAGAAATGTTGGCGAGCAACAATTTTATAATGTATCTACGAAATTTATTTTCAAAATGTCATGAAATTTCTTTATTCTATGGAAGCTTGTAAAGTATCAATATTAATTATTTTAAAGATCGTATAGTAAACATAAACTTTCATGTTTTATGTCTCAGTATGTTCTTGTCATGATTTCTTACAAAATATTCTAAATGTTGATTGTTACGGATATCCTTCTACATAATACTGAGTTGATATATGTAACTGAAAGTGAGCTCGTTATACAAATGACACGTAACAATTGAATTAGTTATATTTTCCATCCTTATTAAAGAACATTTTTGTTGTAATTTGGTGTGATATACAAATTGTCCAAATAAAACACCCTCTCGTTCAAGATGAAAGTTTGAGTTCGCATTCTAGACACCCTATCAGATTCATAACAACCTTAAAGTTTTATATATTATTAATATGTAGGTTTATGTACCTATGTAACTAGGTAAGTATTTATGTAAGTGTATGTATTTGGTGCTTATGTATCTATGTATATTTATCGCACTGTTTCTGTCTAACTTCTCAACACTTTTATTTTACTTTACATATCAATCTCTAGTGCACCTAGTCACACATTTCAGTACCACACTTCGGAAGACTGCAACTAGACTACAACTCATACTTGTGCATAAAGAATTAAAATAAATAAAATAAAATAGGATGAAAACTTATGAAGCAATGGAAACTTCAAGTTCACATTTACGATAGATATAAATATTTTTGCCTTTACGTTCTAACGGTGATGTAAAACATGTGTTAAGATTTATAAGCTATCTTTTACCACTTTTACCACGGTTTTGCTTGGGGTAATGTCGCTTACCAATCAATTTTGCCGAGATAAAAGAAAGCAAATATGCTATTCCAGATTATAATTTACCTTTTAAATGTCTGATCAGGGCGTCAATTCTGTTCTTTTAAAATAACATTTGAATCTCGTTCTTCCAAAATAACTTACATTTACTTAAAAAAATTAAGTACATAAGTATTATATCAGCTAATTTAACTTTCATAGCACAAGCTCTGACTAGTTTGAAACTAGATGGCGTTGTATGTCAAATGTCTGAAAATATTATTTATTTATTTACTTAAAAGATGGCCCTAATAGCAGGTTTTAAAATTGTTATAAAAAAGCAATCTTTATTATCACGGGACAGCATCTGCAGTACAAATGGCACTTGCAAATGTCAATGATAGTCTCCAGCAAATTGCGCAAATTCTTAGCTTCGCATTTAGTGTAATTGTCAGTTATTATCATTATAGCTATCGATAAAGTTGCCAATAAGTGGTTTTTCGAAGTAATAATAATATATTTTAAGTACATAACAGACATAGATGTCGTTTATTAAAAGCCATTCGTGATTTCCTCTTATTTAGCAATACTACTTAATATATTTGTTTCTCAATATCTTTAATTAACTTTTCAAAAAATATCATCGACTTTAGTACATGATGGATCTTAACAAACCACATTCTTCATTCTTAAATTTTCCACCATCGGAGGTGGTATTTTTTCTTCAATATACCACTATACCAACTCAAATAATAAAAAGAATTTTCCAAAACAGTTCATAAATGACGGAGATCTGATGTAACTATAAATAAGAACCGACTACAAAACATACTACAATATTTCTTGAAAGTCGGTTAAAAAATCAGAATTACGCTAACTATATTCATTATGATCAACGACCTTTAATAGTTTACTACTGAACATAAGCCACTCCTTAGAAATGAGGTTTTGGCCTACTATATCTCGCTAGCCAGACAGATTCCTATAGGGTTTGTTTCAAGTTTTTTTTCTCTTTGCAGTGCTGTTGTCTTGCTTAGTTTGCTCTTACGACACCCACGGGATGCATAGGGGGCGCTGACACTCCGTATTCTTATTTCGTTACCAAACGTACTAGGTATGTTATAGTTATTTTAAAGAGTTGTGTTTTATGTTCAAATATGGTTGTCTACGTTAGTCGAGAATTTGTCGTATAAAAGACAAAAAGAACAATTTCTTGAATAAACTTGGCAGATCGTTAAATATCTTATTTGACCTGAATTTACTACAAATATTCAGGAGAAAGCTTGCAGTAGACGTTCAGAAGCATCTAGATAGTAACGTACCATTAATTAAAATTTATTTATTTATTTATTTTCTTTAAAAACAACTATTTTTACAGGCTTAGCCCAATGCAATAGTGTTATACCACCTACTTATTTATTATAAGAAATAATTCTTAATGCTGTTATTGTGAATTCACTCAGTGAGCAATAAAATAAATCTACTTCGTCCGCAATTATATTCAGAGTACGTAGTAAAATAATATATTGCTCAATTTAACCTTGTGGAGTGTACGTTTCCTTATCTCCTTATCTAAGACTGTTACTTTCTTGTTTATAATTTACCATTCTCATAGACCCCATGACATGCTTAAGGTATTTATGGCCTGTCTATGAACTAATTTTAACTTTTAATCCTAAGATTAATTTAATATAAAATACCAGGCTTCTTTAAAAGTTAGTAGAAGTTGGAAGAATCATATAATACAAAAAAACTTTTAGCTAATTATATCTAGCCGAGCAAAAATTGCGTTTTATTGTAGTTCTTCATTCATTTCATTTACAAATCGTAATTCTGGGTCATTCATTTTGACCGAGAATCATACTTTTACTGAATTTATTAAAATATCCCACTATTTGTAAACAATAGAATTTAAGTCATAACAAGTTACCTTACCTACACTTACAAGCTATGTAACTATTCATTTCTCTCATGGCTCTCACACATAGTCATTGTCTGTCAACAGTCAAAGCTACTATTTCATAATATTAAATAACAAACTCACCTAGAACAGTCTTTGCAACTCTTGCTTTTATTTAGAAGCTTTGACTTGGAGCTTGAGCTCAGGGCTTGTGTTTCCAACGCAGAGCAATAGCACTTGTTCTTGCAATCATCCTTGAGAGAGCAGTAACATCTATCAATGCAGCTCTCAGACTCACATTCGGAACATGACACATATCCACTAGAACTATTCCTGTTCTGACATCCTAACCGATTACTTAACGTCAAAAAGTCCGAATCTTCTGAAGCAGATGTTCTCTCGCCTTGTCTTGGCTTCCCAGATCGTTTTGACACCTGCACAACTTTATCTGAACGATTCGAATGCCTTTGTCGTGTCGTTTGTCGCTTTGTTAGTGGTAATATTGGTTCTTTGGGGCGAAATTGCCGCATGTCGTAGCTGGACGTTGAAACTGAGCTTTCAGAAATAGGATTCTTAGGTTCTTGTAGATCTGAAGTACTAGTAGTATTGTTGTCTCTTCTTCTTAAATCTTTTCCAAATGGTATCCTGAAGACTGTTCGTAGACCACTAGCCCCTTTAAATATTTTTCTTCTTTTATTTTGAAATAAACTATTTTTTCTTAATATTTTTTTCTTCTGCTTCTTCATTATCGCTTTGCTATGCTGAAATAACTCATCTTTCGTCAGTGTGACAGCAAGTTTCAAAAGAAACTCTTTGTATATCGGTTTCAAATCATTGAAAGACATCCCTTCAGCATCTATTATGGCGTTGAGAATCTCGTCCATCGAATGCAAGTTCTCCTGAACTTTGAATTCATTAAAAAGTTCATTGAACCCCAATGGCGACCCGCCTCCTTTCTTACCGTTGTTTCTGAAATTAAATACAGTACAAAAATTACGATCCAGACTACTTTACATCAACATGTAAACATAAAAAATTAAAATTAATCAAATGAGAAACATTTATATTTTCAAAACCCAATATAAATTATTATTTCATAAATCTAACAAAAATCCTGGTTTCGTTAACTTTTACGAAATCACTTTTATTTGCATAAGTTTGGTAGCTATCATGCTACAGACAGACAATTAATTAAGCCGATGTAAAATTGTAAATATTAATTTACAATTTTACATCATTGGTTAACAAAGAATACAATCATTAACTTTGTAATAAAAGATCTTAGAAGAACTGAAAAATAAATAGCAGAAAATTTATCAAAGTGAATTGCACTAGCCTTACACTAACTTTTTAATAGACAGCGTGATTTTACTTTGAAACGATAAAGCAACTAGTACAATGGCTTTCTCAGTGAGGATGTTAAAAGTGTGATGATGTTAAAAACTACTAGACTAGAGGAATGCATCGGATGCGGTTGCGTTGCCACAATTACTCGCATGCAAGTTGTCGAAACACTCCACTAAGCACGTTCCATTCCAGTCTCATTATATAGCTATTTCAAATCATCATATGACCATGTGAAAAACATCATGGAAATGAGATGTCAGAACACGTAATGGATATGAGGAAATAACACCAATCACGAGTGATAAGGCAATTGCACATCTAAAAATATTTTTTATAAACTAAACTTTATGCGCCAAAAAAGTAGAAATCATACATACCGGTGTCCAATCGACTTGTACCTCGTCAGTCCGCCGGCATTTAAAAAGCTGCCCGAGCGAGGAATGGCCACTTTAGTTAATATGTCACCAGATTCAGTTATCGACTTTCGCCCACTTTGAGTCCTTCTCAGAGGCTCTTTCGTCGGAGGGTCCGGTGGAACTTCCAACGGCTTCTTTAAAGGTATAGGCGGTGGCAGAGTCGGTGGTCTCTGTAAAGTTTTCCGTCGCTCTAAGGCTCTGAAAAGCTCAATTTTCTCTGATACCTTACTGCGTACCGATGATTCAGTACTGCTTTGAAGTTTCTTCACATTCGGGATTTGTCGAATGCTAGGACTTTGGGACTTTTTCGAGGACTTCTTGGAGCCTTGAGTATCGCTACCACTTGTGTCAATATTCTTGATAGAATCCAGTTTGGCTTTAACTTCTTCAACTGTGATTCTTTTAATATCGGCGGGATGAACTGACTGAAGTGGGGGCGCTTGTAGTAGGTTCTCTGATGAAACATTCTTTGTTCTTTCTAGTTTAGGTTTCTCGCAAAACGATTCGCTGGCAGAGAACCCATCCGCTCTATCACTGTCGCCGCTATGTGAAGACGAACTACGTTTCTTTCGTGGTGGCCTGACGGGTATCTCGTGGGGCGACATACTGCTACCAACGCTCATGCAGCTCACTCCGTTTCGACTCTTTAGCTTCTTCTGATCACTGTGGCCCTGGCGGCTCATGTGCGCCATCAGCGATTTGTATAACGTAGCCGCTATCACGATAGCGTCCTCAGTCGTTTGACATACAAATCCATGACACTCTAATTGCTTCGCGACGCCAATCTTCCTCATCACAACAGCGAAAATGGGTGAATGCATGTTTTCGTTGTGGGAGAGGATGTACTTATTGTCTGTTGACTCTAAATTTTGAAATAGGGCTTGTCGATCAATATTATCGGGATCTGTTATAAGAGGCAGGAAGGCGTAGCATAATTCGCGATCGTCCATATCTACTGGTTGAACGATGAATTTCACGGCTGACCACACTGCTATTGTGGGGAAGGGATTTTGTTGCTCTAAATCACCTTTCTCCCCTTTATATCTCACTTTTAGACCGCTCTTGGATATTTCTAGTCTGCCGCTAAAGGCATTTTTATGGCGGTAGTTTCTTCTGTAGTTGAAGTACAGGTCCCTGAGGGGTACTTGGAGGCCTGCAAGACTAGTGACTTTGCTGTGCAGGGGAGTTGATCCAAGATAGTGCACATTAAATATATGCACTCCGATGTTTTCAATCGGTTGTTTGGACTCGCCTGCCATGTCTGCGAACATCCGTTCTATCCTGTCCTGTACCGTGTTGTTAATTCTGTTAAGTTTACTCTGGCAGTAGCCGTCGTCATCTTCGTAGACTGTGACTTTACTGTCTGGCGTAGATTCATTCTGTAGACAATGATATACATTTTAATAGACGAGTACTATGAATATTATTATAAGTTAATGAATAGTATGCTCAAATTACAGCTGATACATAGTAGTGAAGAGTATCTTTGCACTTTCAAAATTATTTCTATTAAAATGTTTTTTAAATAATGAAATACAACAGAATGAGAATGACAATGATAAAGGTAGATATTGTTCTGACTTTTCAGAAGTTATTTAAGATCTTGGCCCATCAAAGTCATCTTGTCCTAAAACATTTGTCTATAAATATACTCATGCCACCCACGAAAAAAATCTATAAAACTAGAAACCTCCTCAAAAAATGTATGTATCTTAATGTATTTTAGATATTTTAACTGACTGTAAACATGGACCCCATTCATAAGAAAAAGTATACTTAAATCTGTAAAAACTTACTGAAGAAAACGTGTTATTTTAATTACTTGAAATAACTTTGTTTATAAACACTTGCAAGTCAAGAGTCACATGTGCTTTTCCGCCCTTCCTTTTGTAAATACATACCTATATATATAAATCCTTTTTGTAAATACATACATATTATATATAGAAAACTACAAATATTTGCAGATCATACAAAGATTTGGTCCGACTCGAGAATCGAACCGGAGACCTCAGCACAGCAGTCGCATACACTTCCACTGCACCACCGATTCAGTCATGGCTTGACAGTTCATGACTTTCTGTGCAGCCGTAGGAACATTACGATTAAGCCTGGCCCATATTTAAATTTAGGGAGATCTGTATAAAATGGAACGTATATTACCTTATCCCTTCTTTCAAGTTCATGGTTTAAGCTCGGTGTGTACTGGCTTGTGACAGACCGCGTGTCGTCAAAAAGCGCGTCGATCTTCTGTTTGTAGGAGAGCGACGAGATGGACGGAGCGCGCGCACGCCTCGGCTCATCTTCGCGCCCCAGGCGGAACCCGCCCAGAGCGCCGCTCTGGTTCTCGCAAGTCACCATCTGGTAACAAAAATTCATATTTCAAATAGGTCATTAGTGACATACACACATCATACATAGTGACAGTTTTTTATGCTTAACTAAATTTCAATTATATAAGCATTGAAATGGATTTTTGAAAATAATTAAGTATATTTTTCTAAACGGTTGTCGATTTATCTTCATTTTGCTATCAGCGTTTGGATATCAATTTTTAATTAATTATTTTCTTATCGTATATAATTATGTAAACAACATCCAAACTACTTCAGTACACAAGCCTGTGTATACGAGTACTCTTAACAATCTCAGTCTATCAAGAATTAATCTAAAGAATTTTATATAAATTATAACTCGTTGTTTAAAATGTAGATGAATCACCAATATGTAAAGTATTTTTGCGCGCTTTATATTATTAGCTTCACTTGTATGTTTGTAACCGACTCCTTTGGGCGTGATTTTGACTGATAATTGAAAAATAATTGAAAAACAGCGTGGGGTGCTTTTTACTATTGACAACAGGCACCCAACGCTTTTTTTTAAATTTATTTTCTATTTTTTAGTTTGGTTTTCTATAGAAAGCGTGTTTTTTAGTTTTTTAACTAACTATAATTTTTTTGTATAAGGAGCTGTAGGAAAGTAGTTTCATAAATCAATTTATTTAGTAACAATAGTATTTTTAGTAATTACCTACCTATCACTTAGTCCGTGTGGTGACGGATTAAGAATACAGAGTGTCACCAACCCTATTTATCCCGTGGGTGTCGTAAGAGCCGACTAAGGGAGCTAACTACGCAGGACAACAGCACTGCAAAAGAGAAGGAAAACTTGACACAAACCCTTTGCCAACCCGTCTGGCCAGCGTGGTATAGTAGACCAAAACCTCCTTTCTAAGGAGAGGTCTATATCTAGCACTGGACTGTTAAAGGCTGTTGATGATGATGATGATAATTTAGTATAATTTACATAAAAAAAGGAGGATCTGTATTCGATTCTCATGTGGGTATGTTTGTTCGACCGCGACTTTCTAGAAAGTAAAAGGTATACTAATGAAATGTGAAATATTTATTTCTGTAAGTAAATCTTTTCAGATATTTTTACAAGTCAGACTTTACAACTAGATGGAGCCGGCACTTCCTAAGACTCACTCTGGGAAGAAACGACGAAACAAACCACAGAGGTGTCTTTTTTTAGTACGTAAACAAAGTTAAAGAAAACTGTGCGAGTACAACGTAGGGTCTGGGTGGCCTTTTGAAGAAATGATCATAGTATACCGAAGCCATCGTTATAATGTTGTTATTGTTTCACGAACGTAATTTTAATATTTTAAAGAAGATTTAAGTATTTTATATATTAGGTACTTCTTATTTTGTATTAAGTTGTATGCATAAATGTACACCTGCATTGCAGTCTATTTAAACAGTTTAAATAAAACATACCTATTAACATTAAATTATGCGACCAACAGTTCATTCCAAATTTCTCAACACCTCAACACTTGATATTTAAGTAACCTATGATCTTTTTACATGAAGTCCCATTTATCTATGCTAATTTTATTAACCTGAAGAGTTTATTTGGTTGCTTCAACGCGCTAATGTCAGACACTAGTAGTGCGAACCGAAAAATTATATTTTAGTATTGGATAGTCCATTTATCGAGGAAAGCTATATAACATCATAATAGGAGAGATCCATTGATGCTCCATCAGTGATAAATGTTGCAAAAGCGTGGCAAATTTATTCCTTTTGAAAAAACAAACGAACGGGTCACTTTGTCTATAGATATACAAATTCTATCACCAGAATCATTGACATCCTGCCCACTCTCAAATCGCTTTGGCATCGTCGCAATGTTTCCTGTCCTGTCTACCTAACGCCAACCCTCCATGGGAATATAGACTTTTTTAGACACGAAAATGGAGAAAGGTATAATCGGATTTACATGTAAAGGAGTGAGGATACTACGGTATAGGATGGGGAGACAAGACTAAGGCTCTAAGAGGCCCAGGTCAGGCCTAGGCCCTGTGATTGAAAATGCCAAAATGACAGACACATCAACTGCCTCATCAAAGCCATTGGAGTGGGTTATTGCATCCATTTTAGTGATGTTAAAGGACCGTTCAGCATTTTGAAAGTACTCCATTACATAGCAATTTATTTATTTATTGTGGTTATAAATACCTAGATTTGCATATTTACAATGCATTGTAACTGGTGGTGACCGCAAACGGGTAATAGAGAATCTGGGAGGCTGTGATTTGCATTACGTAAAAACGACTCCGTCATCACATTGATGTCGCTAAATGGTTATTTATAGGTATTTATGTATTTATATGTTATTTTATGGCTTTTTTTGTTCTATTTACATACTTAAGTATATATAGATTGTTGTCATTGTAAGTGGGGGGACGATTATGCAGTAAATGTAGGTTATGACACAAGTTAACTATTTAAAGTTGCCTACTTTAATTATTTAGAAGTTGTTGTGTAATGTAAGGAAGAAACAATTATTTGGGAACATAAAATTGTATAAAAATATTTGATATGACAACAAAATACAAAAGGTGTGTAACGAAAGACATTTTGAACACCATTTTAAGCAAATTTTGTTTACGAATGAGATTAAATTTGAAATACATAAAGTTTACATGTAAAAAAGTGTTTTTTAAATGTATTTAGTAAGAAAAAACTACAAGAATCTAGTATGCTCCTATGTATAAGCTGACCCGTTATGATGCAGAAAGTCTATACACTGACAGTGCTAATGTTACAAGTGAACATTGACGGGCCTGTTGGTCTAGTGGTTAGTGACCCTGACTGCTAAACAGGAGGTCGTGGGTTCGATTCCCACCCAGGACAAATATTGTGTGAAGAGCATGGTCATTTGTTCTGTGTCTGGGTGTAATTTATCTATAATATGTATGTATTTAGTAATATGTAAGTATGTTTGTCAGCAGTCTGGTTACCTTAGTACAGGCTCTGGCTAGTTTGGGATCAGACGGCCGTGTGTGAGATGTGTGATATATATTTAAAAAAAAAACATAAAAGAGTTAAAAGCAATTCTAGTAAAATATAAATATAAGAGAATTTTTGGACTCTTGATACGAATGTAAAATATTAGAGTCTTACCATAGAAGCGGAGCGGTTTATAATGAGCACAATATAATCGTGATGCGTGTGAACCCAACTGGTAGATAGTGTATTGTAGGCTTGCTTAGTGTATCATACTACAATGTGAGCGCCTATCACACTTAGTTACATATAGTTAGATAATCATCCATAAATACTGGATTAATGTATTCGTAACATCAGTTTTTGTCTGTTAGTTACGTGTGTTCTTTTTATAAGTACCTAGATGGTTAGGTGTTATAATGCCTTGATTTGAAGTTAATGACAATGATAATAACAACTTTTATTGGTTTAAAAGGTATGTAGGCATATTTATAATTTATGTACGATTTTTTTTATGTTAGAAGGGGCAGACGAGCAGACGGGTAACCTGATGGAAAGTGACCATCGCCGCCCATAACCTAAAGTACACGATCTCCTTAGTTCTGACTTGATAGAGCTCTGTGAAATATTTCCTAAAATATTATATTAAAATCGCTGTTATAATTTTCTTTTCTTGTTTTTCACATATTTCACACACGGCCCTCTGATCCTAAACTAGGCAGAGCCTGTGCTATGGTAACCAGACTGCCGATAATCACACATATATATTTCCAAACACACACATACCACAGATAAACCACATCCAGACACAGAATTAATCACCGTGCTCATCACACAATTATTTGTCCTGGGTAACCCAAGACCTCAGGCCCAGCAGTCAGGGTCACTAACCACTAGACCAACAGGCCAGTCAATTGATTGAATCCAACAATTGACAAATTCAATTTCAATTCAATAGTGTACCAAATTCAATTCCATAGTGTACCAAATTTACGTGTAAACTTAATTTATGTAATGTGTCAAGGTTGTTCTATAAAGCTTTACACGTGTTCTCTTAGTTCTCAAACAGTTTTTGATTTTCTCGAGCTATTGCTAACACTTCCCAACCCATTCGTATGAATACTATCCTTTACCTGGAATTGGTATAACACGCACAACACAAGTTATATTGTCCATTGGATAACCCATATGAAAGCGTAACCATCTTAACGGTACATCAGCTATGTTTAGATATGGATGAGCACGAACACGACGTGTTATAACAATGTGTTATAAGAATGCGTTTATATTTAATGCTAATTTCAATATAAAATGACCAAAGCCTAATAAATAAAATGAATCTAAATCATTTAAATTACAAAAATATGTACCAAAAATGGAAAAAGTTTCGTAACATTTGCCGGCCATTTCGTGGAACTGAGTTAAATACTGTTTTATTTATGTAAATACACATATATTTAAACTTAGAAACTCTATCTATGGGTTTTTCATCAGCGATCCTCAAATTCCACGAAAAAAGTAAAAAAATGTTGACCTCGAAAAATAATAAACTAAAATACGAACATGTACCTACACAAAGTTAAAGTATAAACTAAGTAGCACAATGAAGAAGTCATCGATCTTGCAATGAAGTGGTTTCCGGGTTTGAACCCCAACCAGTATACTTCTAACTACTCCTTTTTTTACGTCTGGAAACCACCTCGGGCCGCCACCCCACAGGGGTTTGTGGTGAGGCGGTGTGTCAGAATCGAAACGACTAAAACTACACGGTGTGCCACTCTGCATAACATGCAATAGGAAAAATCCGAGAACAGCTGTTATTAAGACCTTCGGACCCCTACTAGAGCCAGCGATAAACGACTCCTAACACAACCATTAAGCTCAGCTGTAGGGGTTAATAAAAACACTAGTTATGTGTAACCTAAACGTTAGTGTTCTTTATAAAAACTTGCATCATTAACAAAAAAACACAATTAAAAAAATATATAGGAAACAGACACTTACATTTTACTACTTGCGGAATGTGCACACGAAAAAAATAAGACCACACTGAATTTCACAAGAGAC